AGTTGCAGCTTCATCTAAAGTTTAGATTCATGTCTTAAACTTACAGAAATGAAATGCTGTGATTTATTACCACATGAGCAATAAAGTCTAAATTTTACTGAATTAAATTGAGGCGGCATGGTGGAGCAGTGGTTAAAGCCGTCGCCTCTCAGCAATAGATTTGCAGGTTTGCACATCTCTGTGGACTTTACATGTTCGCCCCATCTGGTTTCCTCCCGCAGAACAAAATCCTGCAGGTGTGGTTAATTAAATCTAATTTGTCCCTGGGTGAGAGGGTGAATGTTTGTCTCGTTTGTCTCTCTGTGTCCCTGTGATGGACTGGAGACCTGTCCAGGTGTCCCCCGCCTCTCTCGCAGTGACTGCTGGAGACCGACACCAGCTGCCCGTGAGCAGAAAAGGAAAAGTAAAAACGATATTTAAGGATGCCGAAGAGGTTTTCCTCCTGTGGCTCCGACTCCGCAGCCGTTAAAAGCCAAACTGGACCAGGTGAAACCAGAAGGAGCGTACCTGTCAGGAGGAGAGCGCACAGCAGCGGGACTCGGATCAGGTCTTGACTCTCCATCACGTCAGTGATTGTGCAGCAGCTCTGTGTTGCGTTCTGAGACCTGCCCGTTTCCTGTGTCACCCTGAGCTCAGCTTCACGACGTCTTCTGAGAAACCGAGGAGCTCAACTCCTGCAGGCTCAAGTCACATAAAACCTTCTTTGCACCCACTTCATGTTAGACTCCATTTGTTATTTTTTTATGTTTTTAAACATTATTACCTTTTATATTTGCACCCTCCTCTGATTTCATTAAGTTTAAATGAGCAGACTGAATCGAGAAGCAAATTAAAGTTTTTTATTTTCTGTGTCCTGTGTCAGAACACTTGATGCGTTTCAGCCTCAAATGTAATTAATCTGTGACGCGTGAATGCTCGTGGAACACATTCAATCCTTTTTATCGTTGTAAAAAAATAATAAATCTGCCATCGTTCAGGTAATAATTCACCTTTTTCTAACAACAGCTTGCTCAAACTTGAAACAATACATTTTTATTCTTGTATTTAAAGAATTTGCTTCAGGTTTCACTTCATGAAACAGAAAAAAAACATTAATTCAACCTTAATTTTACAGGTTAGACTCATTGAGTCATGAGGACTCATTTTCAAGAGACACCTGTAACAAAAAAACATGTTTTTTATTACAGATATCCAATAAATGGTAGTTTTTGCAGCTCACAGTGCGTTGAAAGTTGAAAGAAGTGATTTTTTTGTCATGAGAAAAAATAACGAGTGTTTTTCTTGTTGCTTCACACAAGTGTCACTTCTGGTCCAAAGGTGTGAAAAACAAATGTAAGCATCTTTTTTCCCTCGGGTCGTTTCAGGAGGAAATGTAATTGTGACACGTTGTGGTGAAAATACTGTAGCTGCGTGTCCGCAGCAGCGCTGGCAGGAAACAGTGGACAGAACGCTGAGCTGACGTGAGCCACGACCTTTTTCAGGTTCGACAGCTCAGCTGAAGTTCAAAACCGAGAGCGGTACGAGTGAAAACAGGTCTGAGTCGGCAGGAAAGTTCACTTGAACACACCGGAGCTGCAGCAGGTTCGCTCCACTGGCACCTTCATGTGACTGACATGTTGGCAGTTTGAATCCCATCAGGAGGCGGTGAAGGAGTAAAACAAGCAGGCCGCCATCTCAAAGGTGACCCAGCTCTCACCTGGCGATTGTTTTTACACCAGATGCCCTTCCTGACTCAACCACAGACCACCGAGCTACCACAGCTGCTATGTAGGGTGCCTGGGGGAGCAGATGGGGGGGGGTAAGGGCCTTGCTCAAGAGCCCAGATTGGGGCAAATGAGGGTGGAGGCAGGAGTGAGTGTTTCACCTTTCCCACCCACATTTTGATGTTGTCAGTCCAGGGAGTTGAACCGACAACCTTCCGATCACAGGTTCACCACCTCTGCACTACCACTCCCTCCCATAGGATATACAGTAGTCCCTCATTTATCACGGGGGTCTGTACCCTGAAGCCCCACGATGAGTGAAAAACCACCAAGTAGGATTAGTAGTACAAGTAGTTATTTTAGTATATATATATATATATATATATATTTGCAACATTCTAAACAATGTTTCTAAACTCTAAACCAGGGGTCTGCAACCTGCGGCTCTGGAGCCACATGCGGCTCTTTGGTCCCTCCGAGGCGGCTCGTTCAAGCTTTGACATAAAACTGAATTTTATTGGTTGTCATAACAACTAAAAGGGATAGTTTTAGCAGTTTTCCTATAAAATAAATATATGAATACTAGAAACATTACAAGGAGTAAAACATACTCACTTTCACTTCATGCTTTATTTCTTCAAAGTACGATACGCAATTTTTCTACAATAAAAAAAAAAAAAAAATCACAGTTTATTATTTTAGTTTTTAGAAACTGGGCAGAAACTATATTATTTTTTCCTTCTTTACAAGTCTTTCATTTTGTCTTAAAATGTAAAAATACCAATAAATGTTAAAAATCATTACATATTTTTAGTTTTATAAAATCACCCCTACTGTCCAGGAAAGCGCCCTCCAACAAACTTAAAGTGGTCCGTGGGCCACCAGTTGAGAATCCCAGTTGCAGCAGGTGTTGCGGCTCGGGACACGTTTAATTTAGTGAACGAAGGGGCAGAAACGGCTCTTTTGATCGTAAAGGTTGCAGACCTCTGCTCTAACATCAGCTCCCTGCCTCCTCTGCTCTCAGCCACCTGGAAGTGCTCTTGGCCACGCCCACTTCTACGTTCTGCACGCTGATCAGCTGCAGCAGGACGTTTATCGTGCAGTAAGGGCTGCACAAAGGTGCAACAGGTGCTAAATAATTTAAATAATTTATTTTAAATAAGAAATCCATGCCAATCGTGCGGCTCATCCATCAGTCAACCACTTGTGTGTCATGTCCAGTCTTATTTTGAAAAACCGCGATAGAGCGAGTCCACGAACAATGAACCGCAAAGTAGTGGGGAAAAAACAAAACATTATAGTCATCATGGATGACATTGATTGAGACATGGTCTCATTTTGGTGAAGGTTTGATTACCGATATTTCATTTTGACATGTCAAAGTCTCCCTGAGCAAAACTCCCTGAACCCTCGTCATCGCCTCAGATGAGCACAATTTTTGTGCGTATCCAATCTAAAGCACTGATTAGACTCTAGAGATTTGCTTCAATGATCTTTGTGGACATGTAGTAGAGTGCTGTATGGATGTGTGTGCAGGTGCACAAGGGCACAGACTGTGCTGCAAAGAGCTTTGGTTGGATATGAAGGTGCAAGTCCAGCCCATTTACCATCGACAGATCCACCTCACTGGAACGTCATTCACTCTGGAGGAACGTGGCCGGGTGGTGACCAAGAACTGAAGTGCTGAACTTGTTGAAGTCAAGAAGCAGCAGCACCTGAGGGAACTGAACAGCAGGAAGTGTTACTGATGATTAAACTCAAAGTTTGTTTTCTCAGTCATCCAGGTATATAACAACAAAAAAGGTTGAATCATGTCATCTGGAGGCTGCAGGCTTGAAACACAAGAGTCAGGGTGGCTTCTGGGTAATACCAGATGGCTAGGCCTCAGACTGACGAAGCCTCTTGGATGAGGGGCGAAACGTTTCTTTTTAACAAAAAAACGAAGTCCAGATGACATGATTCAACCTTTTTTGTTGATGATTAAACTGTTCCTCCATCACACAGTTACACCTGTTTTCTCCCAACTCAAGCAGAGGTCCAAACTTTATTTCTCAACTCTAAAGTCAGCGTGTGATCTCAGCATTATTCAGCTTTACATGAACGTGCAACCGAAGCTCTTCCTCTCAGAACATAGCTGCAGAAAAGCCGGGCAAGCCGATTGTGCCATTAATAGCCACTTTTACAGATTACATGACACAACGGCATGCCATACGACGCGAGTGCCATCTAGTGGCTGAAAATGGTAGTGTTCAATATTTTCAGTCAGAATGAATGAAAACGGTCATATCTCAGCCAGAAATTGGTTTATAAATAATAAATTGGTTTATAAATATGGGGGGGCGGGAAGAGTCGCAGAGCATGTAAATTATGCAAAAAAACTGGCACACAGGCTGAAAAAATACGGTACTCCTGATCTGTTTGAGAGTCAGTTGTTTCCACCTCGCGTGACCCGCCGCCCGGTCCAAGAATAAAGCAGATAGTCTAGATAATTGTTTTCTAATCTCATGAGCTCGGTGACCAAAGCAACAAGATGTAAACAATCTTAACGTTCACCAAGATTTTTTTTTTTTACGATTGTAGAAATCCGCTCTTCAGCGGTTTTTTCTTCTTCTTGCATGAATTTGTTCTTCTCAGATTGTCCAAACTGAATTTGAACTCACTTCCATCTACTGCAGGTTAGACACTGACTGCTCATAAGTGCACTCAGTTCGTAGAAAAGCTGAACTATCCCTTAAAATTCATGTTGTGTGAGCTCGTCTCCGCTCTGTGCTCAGAACAGGAAGGAGAACGTCCCATCAGAGACGTGAGACCCTGATGGACGCCAGATTTCTGTGGCCCGCGGGCCTCTCTTTGTGTGTGTGTGAAACCGCTCTTGCTTTTTCGCACTCTCATCAAACAGGATGTGGGTTGATGCTCCGCTTCAGCCAGGATGCTCAGCTTTTGCATCTTCAGACCTTTACGGGGTATTTCTCCCCCACCAGTGTCATGTTGTGCCCATCGCGCTGGGTGTGTGTGTGTGTGTGTGTGTGTGTGTGTGTTGTCCTTTGGGCCTGAAATCCCCCTGAAAGCTGTGAACCTGTTCACAGCCAACAGAAGAACCTGGCTGACGTCAGTAGAAACTCTCACCGGGACGAGTTTTACACAGAATGAGAAAAGATGACGCTCAGAAAAGACGGAACATTAACGCCATCTTTTCTTATGAACTCCTGACTTTACAACTTTAAACTGGAAGTACGTCAGTAAGAAGACGCGGCTCGTTCTGAGTTTTACAGATTTATGAAGTGCAGCTTTTATTTGTGAACCACTTCCTGTTAGTTTCCTGCTGGGTCCCGTCACCACCAGGTGAAGGTGAGTTTGTAGAAGAAGTCGTAGCTCTTGGACAGGAAGCTCCTCTCGGCGACGTGAGGCTCCACGCTCACCCGGTAGCCCCGACTCTCGATGTCCATCTTCACGCAGTCCAGCAGGTCTCTGACCGACGGCGCAGCCTTCCACGGACCGAACGTCACCACCGACTCCTTGTCCGCCTCCAGGCGGTTGATGGCGTTGTCGTGGCAACCCAAGTCCTCCTCGGTCCGCAGCACGGAGACCAGGACGGTGGAGCGGCGTGCGGCGATGGCCTCGGCTCGGGCGATACGAATCAGAACCTGGGTGATGAAAGAGACATTTCTGAGATCGTCCAGTCAGAACAAATAAAAATAACTTTTTGAAATAATCAATGGGACCGATTATTACGTTTTTATAAAATTATTTTAACATTCATGAAGAGTTTTTAAATATTTATCTAAATCCGAGTCCACGGTTCTCCACCGGAAATGTGAGGCGTGCCCCCTCCCGGTCGGGAGGGAGGAGTCTTTGCCTCAGGGGGAGGAGCTTAATCTGAGCTTCTTGTTCCTGAGTGGTGGGATTGAGCTGTGCCTCATCCTCAGTAATGAGGGTGTTGCGTCGGTCAGTTGTGGTGAAGAAAGAGTCGAGTTGAAAGGTAAAGCTCTGGATTTACTGACCTGTTTACGCTCAAACCTTCAACTGAGGTCCAGAGGTTTGGATCAGGACCACAAGAACCAGATCCTGGAGCCAAGCAGCTGAAATGAGCTTCTCAGTGGGAGGAGCTCCATCACCTGGTGGGAGCTTGGCGTAGAGCTGCTGCTCCTCTGCTTCAAAAGGAGTCAGCTGATCAGGACACCTCCCTTTGGAGGTTTTATGGACAGGTCCCACTGGGAAAGACCTCTGGTCAGACCCAGAACTCTGGAGGGATTATAGATCCTTTCTGGTCTGCGAACACTTCAGGGTCTCCCAGGAGGAGCTGGAGAGTGTCTCTGGGGAGACGTCTGCTGCCTGCACGACCGACTACTGATCAGGTAGAAGATGAAGATGGAGGATCTTCTGGAAACGTGTTTGGATGTGGGGTCACCAACAGGAGGACCGAGGTCCAAGTCTAGATCCAAATGTGGCCTGAGGTTTCTCTTTGCTGCCTGTTCATGGACACCTGTCAAAAAAAAAAAAAAACAGCCTGCCAGTCTTCCAGTCATTCCTGGGGTGACGGTGGTGCAGCAGTAAGGCCGCCAACTCGGGTCAGAAAAGTTACAGGTTCGATTCCCCACCGTGCCCACATGTCGTGAAACGGAGCGGCCCGCTGCTCCTCCTGGGGGGACTTCATGTGCGATGAGTTAAACGCAGAGCACAAATTAAACCATTTTCAAGGAACACAGTGAAGACGATAAAAAGCATTTTGCATTCACTCCAAGAGAATTTAGATAAAAACATTTAAACAAAATCCAGGACTTCTGATAGAGGAACGGTTTCTTGAGGTGCATTCCACCTGAAGCCCACCGGTGTAAAGGAATGATCGTTTTTAAAAGTGTCGCTTTTTATCGTTTCTCGAGGCAAAACTTTTTCAAGTTTAGTATAAAGCAGAAACAGTTGGCCAAACGGTTAGGTGAGCTGCTAACTGGAGCAAACAAGAGTTCAAATCTTTGTAATCTTGTGCTCACAACTGAATCCAGAGTTTGAAGGTGTCAGCCGGACTTGTTCGCGCGGTAAAATAAATCTACTTAAAAGGTTAAAGTTTGAGCGCAAACATCTTTTTTTTTCTGTAACCTGATCACAAACTTGACCAAACACCAACTCACATTGGCGTCAGAAGCATTTGTAATGTGGTGGTGGTGGGGGGGGGGGGGGGGGGGGGCTCTCCACCAGAACATTTTTAATAAAATAGATGCCATTTCCTGCATTCTGGTGTATTTTAACGGGTTGCTAAACATATGTTTACCTACAATAAGTAAATATTTGATTCAGTAATTACTTTAGAGAGAAACAAGAAGTTGCCTGACCAACAGCTCTCCCTGTGTGATAGAGTGAAGTTGGTTTTAGGTTGGATATTGGATATTTGCGCTCTGCAGATTCAGCTGCGGTTGAATAGGGCACGCTCCGCTCAAGAGTCCTCGATTACAACCTTTACAGCTGGGCTGTATTTGTGCCGGTGTGTATGACCCCGGTTTAAAGTAGAATAATGTACAAAAAGCAACATTTTATCTACCGTATTTTCCACTGTACACGTCCCTATAAGTCACATCAGTCCAAATATGTCTATTAAAGTGGAAAAATCCATAAATACGTTGCATCTATTATGCGTCAGCACTGACGCGTCGTGTTTGTTACGTGTCATCGCTGACAACACGGAAATGTGGGCCGGTGTGCCAAAAATCGACTGGCTGCCAAATGGTGGCTGCGGGAGTGTGCACGGGAGGACTCTAACAAGAATTTAACAAGATTAACACTTAAAAACAATTATTTGTTTGCTTGAAATTACAGTAAATGTGCGTTTCAGTCTAACTTTTACTTAATAAATGCACTTTAATGGTCAAGTCAGCTGCATTTCTCCAGGGCGGTGCAGCGAAATGAAGCTGATTTTGACGGTTGCTCCAGGCGAGCTGGACGAAGGTAGCATCGATGGCAAGCTGATTGTGTCACTAATAGCCACTTTTACCTATTACATGAAACAACGGCATGCCATACAGCTCGAGTGCCATCTAGCAGCTGAAAATGGTAGTGTTCAATATTTTCAGTCAGAATGAATGAAAACGGTCAGATCTCAGACAAAAATGTTTAATAAATATGGAAAAAGTCCATAAATATGTTGCTTCAGCGTATAAGTCACAGGGCATGTAAATTATGCAAAACAAATGTTACTTATAGGGCGAAAAATATGGTACATTTGTGTTCTTTGATTCCACACATTTAAAGCATGTTTCTCACCAAGTTTGTGGAAATTCAGCTGCGCGGTTTGAAAGACATTTTAACTTTAACACACAGCATGCGGTGAGGGGAGTAGTTGAAGGTAACCAGGAAAACCCGGAGTGGATTTTTAGTGGTTTGAGTATTCTCCTATTAACCAAGTGGAATGGATTTGTTCACGAAGAAATAGAAACAGCACCGGGTGAACGAATATTTCATGGTAAATGTGAGGGGGTCCAAATGAATGTTTTTCACATATAATTCTTGCGACGCCTATGACAGATCAGATGGAGCCGTTTGTTCCGAGTCACTTCCTCGTACAGGTCTTCAGTCGAGCAGAGGCAGATCCAGAGGTTCCTTCTAAATCGGACAAAACATGAAGTTCCAACAGGGAAGTCAAACTAAAGTTGAAACACTTTCCCAGCTGCTGATGGTTCAGGGGGTCTTCAAAACATTTTTGCTTGTGAAATGCAGAGTTAGAGGTGATGCAGAGTGGCAGATCCGGGTGAGAGGGGACAGCAGTTTTATCCACCACCAGGAGCAACAATGGTGGAGTCAGGGGGTGGCCAATGGTGGCCTTGGCCCCCATAGATTAATCTTCAGCCAACTCTAGGGCCACCAATCATTTGAGGATACTACACCTTTAAGCAATGTAAAAACTAGAAAGCCATTTTTTTCTAACAACGTGCTGGTTTGCACATACATATATAGCGGCAGCCATCTTGGATTTTGACGTGACAACCCAGTCTTCAGTGGTTCTTACGTCTAGATGCCACCACACACCAAGATGGAAGGCGTACCACAGGGACAAGGGGAGGGAGGGGATTTCAGTTCCCCTCTCCGCTCCACGATGGGGGACGACCAGGCTACAAATAGGGTGGCAGCCAGTGGGTAAACTGCCCCCCCCCCCCCCCCCTTAGAAAAGCTCACCTCAATGTTTTCTTTGTAGTGTGGGACTCTGGAGAGGAACTGCTGCCTCCCCACCAGCTCCCCAAACAGCTGAGGTGCCTCCTCCAGACGTTTGATCAGAGGTTTGATGTTGTAGTGGACCGCCTCCTTGTAAACCTGCACACACACACACGATGTTAATCTGGGATTAAAACCCGTCACGCACCTGTCCGAGGGAGCCCCCACCTCCTGGATGTTCTCCGTGGGCAGCCTCTCCGACCTCAGGAACTCCAGCACCGACCCAAAGTGGGACCCGTCGCGGTCGATGAAGAAGCGTCCCTGTGGATCAGTGCGCAGTCTGGGCTGACCGCCGAACAGCTCCGCCAGCTTGGAGTCGGGGGGCCTCCTGAGCGTGCTCAGCGTGGTGCTGAACAGGTGACCCCCCACATTTAACTGGACCACAGCAGAGGGCTGAGGAGGCACACGGTTTCACCAGGTCACAAACTCAACTCTGACCGGCTGGTTTTTAACTTTCCCACGTCATTAATACTATTAATAATTAATAATAGGACCTAATGGCCCTCCAGTCCTGGTCCTGGAAGACCTCCAGCCTGCAGGTTTCAGACAACACACCTGGTTGACATCAGCTGGTCTGCAGAACATGAAGATTCAGCCTTTGAACCAGATGTGATGGAGCAGGGAACCAGGCCAAACATGTCCAGGAGTCCAGGACCAGGACTGGACCCCGGAGACACCACAGAACATCTTCCAGCAGAAGTTTGAGAATAAACAGATTGTAGTTTGAATCCCTGCTGGACAGATCCTGAGCTGAATTGTTTTAAATTGATAAATGTTCTGATAATTCAAATAATCAAAGAGAAACCAGAGAACCTGCAGCAGCACTCAGCGACAGCATCATTTCAGTTGGATTAGATGCTCCCAGACAGAACTTTCAGTAATCTTCTAATCTGTAACAGATTACTATTTTAAATTTAACTTTTTTTAAACTGCATTTATAATTGTTTTAGTTTACCGCAATTTATTTTAATTAAAGTATTCAGGCAGAAGCAAAAATAACCTTTAATTTAAATTAAAGTGTTGACTTTCATTAACTTTATTAAGCACCTGTAACAAAACAGGCTGGTTGTTTCATCCACCAGGAGCTGCTGCAGACAGGAGGCCCTGCAGCTTCCACTAAAACTTTAAACACTTCACTTTGAAGAACAAAAACCAACATTTTGAAACACCTAAAGCTTAAAATAACCGGAACACGTCCAGCAACAGAACGAGCTGCGCACCTGTTCCCGCCACTGCTCAGGTGAAACATTTAAATCTTTATAAAGTTTCTTACTGAAGCTGCGGCAGAAGACGGTTTCTCTGAGGTTCTGGAGTCCGGTAGACTCATCTTGGTCTCGGCAGGTCCAGGTGGGAGATCCCGACAGGTATGAGCTGATGGGCGTGGTCTAAACCGGACCTGAGCGTCTCTAAGAAGATGCCTCACTCCGCAGCTTTATTCCTTCAATAAATCATCAGCGCATGCGCGAATATGAAACACTCAAAAAGAAAAATACGGAGTTTGTTTTATTGTATAATAAAAAACAAAAGCTTAATTTGATTTTTATGCGTTTTCATGCACTTTTACAAAGTGGTTCTGGTAAACGTTAGCGACACATCTGGTCCGGTCCTCTCAGGTGAGGGTCACCTGATCTTCACGTCAACCTGCACGCAGCAGCCGTTTCATGAAGTTTAACTGAGAGGAAACTTTTCTACACTTTTAGCACCGACCGGCTTCAGTCGTGTAATTTATTTCTTTATGACACATGAGAGCAGATTAACAAGATTTAATCCCAGTCCGAGGTGAACATAGATTAAAATACTACAGGAGGGATTTTTTAAAGATCGGTGCTGCGGATCTCCTTCGTTTCTGGTGATTCGGCGTTTTGTTTTATGCCTTTAGTGCTTAGCGTATTTTTAGTTGATGTTTTTCTTAGTTCACATCTTATTACGGTTTTTCTTTAACATTTTATTGTTGGATGTAACAGAGTGTTCACATAATTTTGTTCCACATGCACCAGAACGACAAATAAAATCACTCCGATGCCGCTTCCTTTCAGTGAAAATAAAACTTTATTTGGATTTTTAAGGCCGAGGATTAAACATAAACGACACGTTTGGTGTATTTTCCAGATTTTATTGTTTTTGTACACAAAAATCACGAGCTCTTCGGTCCGTCCAGGAGAACAGCCGAGAACCTGCAGAACAGAAAGACGGGAGTTAAAACTTCACGAAGAATTCTCGTGAACCGTTTGGTTTGCGGCTTGGAGCCGACCCTTCTCAGACAAATGCCTCGATGTCTTCAACCGAAAAGGCCCCGCTGGTCCGATGAACCGGAGCAGAACCACAGAACGTGGGTCTGAACCGGCGAACCACCGGCACCAGACTGAGACCTGTTCCGACTCGTCATCGTCTCATCACTGAAGGGACACGACGGACCACCAGAAACTGAACTTTAATAAATAGGTTCCTGGATCAAACTGAGCTGGTTCCCACCCTGAGGGTAACATTCGGACCTCTGAGCCAGATGTGGGCCCCTCGGGGACCCAGCAGGTCTTACCCTTCTAAGCGGTGGGTACAGGTGCTCCCTGGGGCATGGCGGGCACGTCGGGCTTGGCCCCCTTCTGCTCAGATATGGGGGTGGTGGGAAGGCTCTCATCCTTTGGCTCCACGATGCTGACGTGGTCAGGCAGGGGCTTCTTGGGGCCAACCTTACCGCTGGGGTCCCAGGGCAGCATGATCTTCACCTTGATGCCCAGCACACCTGAGAACGAGCCGACAGGTGAGCGTCACGGACGGGACGGTGTTGCGGCGTGTCGCGGCGAGCGGTACTCACCCTGCCTCAGCAGGACGTGGCGGACGGCTGTGTCGACGTAGTAGTTGACGGGGTCTCCGCTGTGGATCATCAGGCCGTCCACGAACTTCATGGACTTGGCCCTCTGACCCCTCAGCTTGCCGGAAACCACGACCTCGCAGCCCTTGGCGCCGCTCTCCATGATGAACCTCAGAACGCCGTAGCAGGCCCTGAGAGAGGAGCAGACGTTCAACCCCTTTACAGACCATCATTTAGAGTTTGGGCTCAGTTCTCTTACATTAAATAAACCGATCAGCTACTAATCACACTGCTGCTGGGTACTGGGGGCTGCTTACATCAAGTCTGAGGAGAAGGTGACTCCTCCCCACTACAGCCTGGGGGTGGGTCCAAGGGAGGCTGGTACCCTCTCAGCCTTCTAAATCTATGGACGTCTGTTCTGGTATCCAGCAGAAACCAATCAACATCTGGGTCAACATTCGGCAGCAATTAGTGTTGTAAGCCCCCCACTCCCCCGCCCACTGGTAGGAGCTGCACCAACCAAACTACAGCAACGTAAATCTCAACAAGATGAAACAAACACCCTCAATGTCAAATGGAAAGACCTACAGACCTCCCTCCAGTCTCAGAAGGGATTTAAATCAGACGACTCGACATTAGAGCCAAGAAGGGACATGCCAGTTGGGTTTTATTCTGGGAACCAGAACATGGTGGACCAGCAACATCCTGAGTCAACAGACTGACTGGATACAGGACTCTGTGTCCCTGAAATGAAACTGGCCATGACCAGGCCGGTCACGATAACTAATGTTGCTGGGCGATTAATCGTCTCAGAAATTATTGAGATAAATTATTTTGTTGAAAATTTGACAATAGTTAGTAATTGTCAAATTTAAGAAGAAATGTTGGTTAATTTGTTGTGTAGTAACTTTTTTCAACCAAAGGATGGCAGTATAAGACTGAACCGAAGGATGGATAGTGAGGGAGCGAGCAGCGTGTCACAGAAAGGAAAATGAGAGGGAGGCCCCTTGACGTGACATGGGCTCTCTCTCTTCAGGTTCTCAAAATGGCGACGCTTGGTGTGCTTTGAGCTCTTTAGCATTTTTTACACAAAGCTTTTAATTAAAAAAAATTAAAAAAAATCAGTAAACAAGTTCTCAGCCTCTTTTTGCAGAGAAAAACAACTTTTTACACGAAGGCACGAGTTTCAACCGTGAATTTTGGAGCTTCGACAAGACGGAGGTTTTATTCATGAGGTCGACCTGTTAGCTTAGCTCGTAGATTAGCCGCTTTTAACGATACAAAAACACGATTTTGGACAAAATAGATTTTAAAGAAAAAAGAGAAAGGGAGGGGTCAGTGAAGAGCACCGGAGTTGAGCTTTTTGTCATTTGTCTTCAGTAGAAAGAGACATGAAGAAACGATAAAGCCGATAAATGAAAATGAGGTCGATATTTTCCATTTATCATGCGATGAATTGATTTATCGTTTATCGCGACAGGTCTAGCCATGATGGATCAGAGCATCTAGAGACGTGTGGGGACTGAAGACATTCGACTAATCACGCTGGTAATTCTGACTCATCGAGCCGACCCTTCTCAGACAAATGCCTCGATGTCTTCAACTGAAAAGGCCTCGCTGGTCCGATGAACCAGAGCAGAACCACAGAACGTGGGTCTGAACCGGCGAACCACCGGCACCAGACCGAGACCTGTTCCGACTCGTCATCGTCTCATCACTGAAGGGAACGACTCGGAGCCAACTCCCTGAAAGTCAACAGGAACGCCTCTGACCGACGGAGCCACACTGCTGGAATGTTTACATTATTAGTGTTATGTAATCTCTAATGTTTACATTATTAGTGTTATTTAATCTCTAATGTTTACATTATTAGTGTTATTTAATCTCTAATGTTTACATTAATACCACACGGACTCAGATTTGAACTTTTATCAGTCGAGTTTTACAGAAACAGGAAACTGACCTGATCTTCAGGACACACTTCCTGTGGTCAAACTGAGCTTCAGCTGCATTAAAGTAATTAAACCTTCGTTCTCCGTCTTTTCCCTCCAACTAGCTCCAGCTCCAAACTCCGCCCACGAGCCAACAGGTACACACGCTGGACAAACATGGGACTTCCTCTCTGGTTGCAGGGGCGAAGTCTTGGACTTTGTTCTCTCTACAGCCGAGAACAGATCTAACCCAGCTTGAAGAAGATTAGTTTTGTTGCCAGCAGGTTCTGTTGGAGCTGCTTCAATGAATACAAGAACTCTGGGCTCACTCGTCTTCACAGCGTTCGTAAAAAGTCACTTTAACTCCAGTTCTGTACTGTTTGTTGATCAGAATGAGATAAATTACTCCTCAACTCATGACGGATCAGAAGGAGGTTTTTGGAGACCAGCTGGTGAAAAATAACTAGCTAGAAAACATTTTCGGCTGTATCTTGCTGAACTCACACTTTGCAATCAAGCGACCATAAAGCAGCATTTTACACAAAATCACATTTGTGTGTGCACGGCTTGCACATCTGTTCTTAGCCGTGCACATTATTTTGCTGCCTACGTTTGTGATGTAATCTTCTGGAGTAGTTTAGAAATGACAAAAAGCAGACTTGGAACTGCGTGGCCTTTAGATCTGGACATTTACCTAAAATGTTTTCCGTCGAGGACGGGAGTCAAAATACAGCCGAGCTGCTCGAGACCGTTCAAGACGCCGGCTATAATTTCCCCAAACACATTCAAAGCTTAAGTGATGGAGAAAGAGGTTTGGAAGTGATGGAGCTTTACGCCCCCACGACTCAAGTGAAGTTGAGAAGCCTGCAAAAACTGGGAGACACTCGGGAGACTCAGTCATGACGGCGCTCGGCTGACCAGCTTGAGCTCGTTTACTTTGTAAATTTAATTTAACCTTGTTAAGCACTTTGGTAACAGCCGTTTTAAATGTGCTTTATAAATAAAGATGACATTATTGAATAACAGATGAGGTAGCACTAAAGAGCCCCAGAGAACCACTAGTACGGACCAGTACAAATACAGCAGAGCTGATGGAACTGCACCAGCTCTCCAAGTGTCCCGATGCTGCTCAATAATCCAGGTAGATTTATTTAACAAGGTTCAGTCAGGTCCTCTGGATGGATTCTTTGCTGAAACGTTTCGCCTTTAATCCGAAGGACTTCTTCAGTCTGAGGAGCTGCAACAAACTCAGTCTTACGAATAGCACCTTCTCATGGCGGATCAACAAGTTTGTTGTTGCCAACCAGAACTAGTTGTTCACAAGATAACAGAGGACAATCAGCCTAATAAACAATCAGTGCTTTGATGGCTGTTTACTATTCACAGAGGGCTGAGTGATACTAGCAATCACAGCATTGTAAGAGGGGGACAGTTGGGCACAGAGGCTCCGCCCCGTTTAACGATGGACCATTTCTTTTCACAAAGATGGCCTCCTTTACTCCTCTCTCAAACCATCGTTCCTCTCTGTCCAGGATGTGAACATCTTCATCCCTGAAAGAGTGACCGCTGGCCTGGAGATGAGTGTAGACTGCAGAGTCCTGGCCTGATGATGTTGATCTTCTGTGTTGGTCCATCCTTTTGGCCAGTGGCTGTTTAGTTTCCCCGATGTAAGACTGATCACCCTCCTGACACTGAACAACATACACAATATTACTCTGTTTGTGCCGGGGGACTGGATCTTTGGGATGGACCAGTCTTTGCTTGGGGTTTGAAAGCCACTGGGACGTCGTGGTTAGAAAGTAACGATTCAACAAAGAAGAACCGTCCAGAGGACCTGACGTTAGATTAGAACAGCTCTCCAATCTAAACTCTTAAGTGTTTTTTGTTTAGTTTTTCTTTCAGATAAAGAGCTGTGTGGACAAAGACTTTCAGCTGTTTGGTGAAATAATGTAGCTTATTGTGAAGTTATTTTACCTCCTCACAGCCAGACCTCCCAGCAGCTTGTAGCGCAGAGACTCAGCCTGAGCGATGGCACAAAGACCACGAGTGGCAACCTTCTCAGCATACAACTAAAACATACAAATAAAAAAACAACTGTGACACTAATCATACTTCCAAGAAAAAAAAACTACACATCTCACCAACACGGAGTTTAAACCCCTCGGAGAACGTTAAATCTGATGTGTGGTCTGCAGCTACGATCTTGTTTGGGCTGAGAACGCACCACCAATCACTCGTGTCTCGACCCTTCTCAGACAAATGCCTCTGTGTCTTCAGGTTCAATGGACTTCATGGTCTGAGGAGCCGGGGCAGAACCACAGAACATGGTTCTGAACCGGCAACCTTCAGAACCAGGTTTAGTCCTGTTCCGTCTCGTCATCGTATCATCACTGAAGGGGAACGAGACCTGGGGTTCAGATCTGATCCGTACACGGCGAGTTAAACCCCAAACTGTGACTAGGATTACAGAAAACTAGAATCTGGGTGGATCTATGATGCGTTGTGCAACAAAACTTCATTCTGTTAATAAAAGTCATACAATTCATAGTAACAACACCTGGGATCCACCCCTCCTCTTTTAACGTTTGGTCCAAATAAAAACAGCCCAGTGGACGAAGCACCGGCCATTTTAAAAAAAAAATCCTCAACATGAAATGATGGAACCCGTCTGGTCGTCTTACCTCCACGCTGCCCTCAGGGAACCCAAACCTCTTCTGCACCACAGCGGTCAGCTCTCTGATTCGACGGCCCTTCTCTCCCAGAACATTCTGGGTCCTGAAGAAGAATAGGAGTTAAAAAAATTAATAAATTAGGATTACACCACAGCTGCCCAAAACGTCCAAGTGAACGGTTCTGTTAAGGATCATTTTGATCCTGTTGCCAAAATGGCACCAAACATGAGTTTAGTAACTTGTGCTGACAGAGCAGAAGCTTTAGCTTTAATAAAATGGTTATTATTCTGTCTGCACTTTACAAACCTGACATGCACCTTCGGTTAGGACGCAACGAGCAGTTCTGATCGTTTCGTTGCAACGCCGTCCTTGTGGTCAGCTCATCTTTGTTCTAGTTAGCGTTGACAGAATTCAGTTTTTAAAAATCAAGTTCTCACGTACGCCAAACTCTCAGCAGCTCAATAAATAGAGTTAAGACATTTAATTTAGAGAAAACAAAACGAGCGTTCCATCACATGGAGCAGACGGCTGATCTAACTGCATCAACTAGGAACAGGCCCACCCGACGGGTCGTGCCATTTCTGTCAAAACCACGAAGAGACGCCTAACTCTGAATATCACCATGAAGAAGATGGACTCCTTCCTCCTCATCTACTAAAACAAATCCTTAACTAAATCTAACTACGATTACAACTGGTAAAATAAGATCACCCGTTTCTTCTAAAAGAAACTGACATTTTACAGCAGCACGCACACGGACGGACCAGGGGTGTCCAATCCTGGACGTCTCTGCTTCCACACCTGGTTCAGCGGCTCTTCGTGTTGCGCAGGAGTCTAAAACTCAAGTGTCAGAGGAAACGTGCAGGACAGTGGCCCCCCGGGGACCAGGTTTGGACCTGCCTCGTATACACGAGCCCCAGTTGTGCACCAACCAGGACTAACAAGTCCTTGTTACAGCTTGGATGAAGAAGACGACCTTCTCAGTTCTGGTTGACGTGCGATTCATCGCCGGCAACAAAGAAACCATCTAAAAAATAAAAAGGACGCTCCAGCTGTCCTCACCGTGTGGCCAGGATGATGATCTCCGTCCTGGTTGGAGTCACGCGCACCTCCACACCCGAGTATCCATCCTCAGCGAGCTCACGAGTCAGGAACTCGTTCAGCTCGGCCTTGAAGATACCGTCTGCGACAAACTGCAGGCGAAAACAAATTCAGTAAAGACCATGGTAACAAACGGAGCGCGTCTGAAGAATAAACTTCGGTTTGTCGAAGAACGTTAAACTAGACGCAAAGGAGCAGTTTGACAGAACGTCTCAGAGTTAAATAATGTTCACTAAAGCACATATTTTTGCCAACATCTGGAGTTACCCAGCTGTAGACCAACATTTATTTGTACCCAATGACGTCACTCCAACAAAATACAAGTAAAATACGAAGGTGCACACTTCATTTTGAGTTGAGGTTAAACACAATCAGTAACCTCGCAGTACTCTGAATTTACCTTATTTTAGATCGTGATTATATTTAATAAACATCAAGTAATTTTAATTAACGCACGTCTGTAACCAGTTGCGGTAGTTTAATTCAAACGTAGGCTCCTCTGCATCTAAAAATGAACAGAACTGACGGAATTCTCTTCGTTTCAACAGAAACGACTCGTTATGAGGATCGTGTCTCTGATCGTGGAGCCAGCTTACGTGTTAAATCACTTCGGAACATTTAAAACCGTTTCATTTGGACATTTCGGGCCTACCGGTTAAACCTCCTGCGGACAGAGCCATGCTAGCTAAAACCTAAATGAGGACGCAGCACAGCCAGAATCTGGATCAATCCTCTCCGAACCGGAGCAGGACGGGTCCAGCCGACACCGGCACGCGCACGGGACGTCCTCGTCCTGCCCAACATGTAGATATTTTGTCAGAAACTCGCTGTCTGTGTGAGTAAAAGAGCGATAAAACACCGCTAACCTTCCTCTTCTTGGAGATTTGCACCGCCATCTTCCAAAAGGCAGTAGACAGGAAAGGACCCGGGATGGACGCGGAAATGCATTTATAGAAAACGGTGAACTTCCGGTGACGTTGATTTCTGATCTGGCGCAGGGAAATGTAGTCTTTTGGTGCAAAACGTCTTTCTGGCTCTAATTCAACCTTTATTTAGTCAGAACAGGTTAATCCCATTGAGCCTCGGGGACTCATTGACAAGAGAGACCTGAAAAGTGCAAAATAAACTAAATCTTAACAAATACAGTTCAAAAACACACTTATCTAAAATTAATGACATGGTTATTTACAATTCGTCATGTTTAATGTGGTTATTTTTCTTGGATTTTTAAAAAAGCTTGCTCTTATTCGATTTGCGTTAGTTTATTGTTGTGCTATGTTTTTGGTGTTTTTAATGTCTGTTTGGTTTTACTGTAAACCTTTAAAGTGTCAGCTCTGAAACTTGGGTATCCATTTTTTCTTGCTACTTAGTACCTAAAATTACGGTAAGCTTCCGTATAATTGATCATAAAATAAGTTTTTTTTTTTTTTAAACTATATAATGAAATCTGTTGTGGCCAAGTCTAAAAGCTTCCCATCTGAAACAAGGTTTATCAAATTATCCTTTTTTGTCAACATTTGAAAAACTGATGACATTGTTTCTTATTCTTGTTGGATGCTGCAGATGTTGGACGCTATCATGGTGCGCTAAGATTCATAACTGGCTGTAACTATCATACCCACCACTGCACCCAGTATCCACTGGTTAACTGGTCACCATTAACTTCACACAGACTCTCTCACTGGTACATTTTCATCTTTAAATCACTTCTTGGTCTGCTGCCTTCATACATCTCCTCCTACATGTCTCTGTGTGAGTGCAGCTACAGCGTGCGCTCTCAGGACATCATTACCTGCAGTGTTCCCTCAGTGAGGACTGAACTAGACAAAAGGACCTTCTCCTACTCCGCTCCTGTTTCCTGGAATATCTTGCAAAAAGATCTGAAGTTCTCGACCTTTGACCTCTCTAAGTGATTTTAAACATCTGTTAAGTTCATGACAAAAAAACAACACAGACATTAAAAAATTAATTTGATTTTGTTGAGTGTGTGGAGCCTGTTAGAGGCAGATTGTGAGTCCATCAAAGTCTGGAATAATCTGCAGGTCTTTAGACTGTGAGGGAAAGAAAGATCTGAACTGCTGACCTAATTACTAATAAAATTACACCACGACGGCACAACATTTGGACACTGACTTAAGTGTTGCTGGATATAAATCAAAAACCCTGAATAGAAACAGTCTGCTTAAAGAAACGTTTCTGTAAAACGTCTTCAGTTGATCCAAAATGCAGCTGTCAAAGTTTTAATGAGCGTTAATAGGAGAGATCATGTCTCTCCAGTTTTAGCTTCTCTCCACTGGCTCCCTGTCAAATCCAGAAATGAATTCAAAAATCTTACTTCTAACCTACAAAGCCCTCAACAACCTAGATCCATCTTCTATTACAGATCTTATCGTTCCATATTTCCTTAACAGAGCACTTCGCTCTCAGGCTGCAGGTTTACTTGTGGTTCTTAGGGTTTCCAAAAGCAGAATGGGAGGAAGATCTTTCAGTTCTCAGGCTCCTCTCTTGTGGAACCAACTTCCAGTTTCTGTCCGTGAGGCTGACACATGGTCCAGTTTAAGACTGGGATTAAAACTTTCCAGTTAGTGTTGGCTCAGTGAGCTATCCCTTAGTTCTGCTATAGGCTTAGACTGCTGGTGGACAAACTGACCACATCTCCTCTCTCTGCTGCTTCTTTACTTGCTCTACCTGTTTGTATTTGTAATTATTTCCATCTTAACATGTTTTTTTAATCTTTCCTCCTATAGACAGTTCACCTGGACCTGTCGTTCTGTTTGTTTCTACTTCCTGTTCCTCTCAAACCTCAGCCGGTCGAAGCAGACGGCCGCTCGTCCTGAGCCTGGTTCTGTTGGAGGTTTCTTCCTGTTAAAAGGGAGTTTTTTCTTTCCACTGTCTCCTTTGTGCTCGCTCAGGACAGGAGACTGTGACGAAGTGAAGATTCATCACAGTCTGCTGCTTCTTTAGATGAGAACTTTTATTAATTGTATTTTTTTAATGTATGTGAATGTTTCTGTTCAGCGGCCTGAGGCGACTTCTGTTGGGACTTGGAACTTTGTAACTAAACTGAATTTCAATCATTGTACAGAATTAATTATATTTTTTACAACTTTCCACCAGAGGGCGCCACTTCACAACATCCACATCATTTAAAACCTGTGCTTTTAATGAACATTTGATCATTTCATTGTTGGAAATATGTTTTAATGATTCTGAGGAAGAATTTTTTTTTTCCCACAGAATTTATTAATTACAAAACATTTTTTTCACACCACGCTGAGAAAACTCTTGAAGAAACGTTTTTGACAGCTTTTCGAACTCTAAGAGAAAATGATCAACTTTAACATACATAAACTTTTTTTTTTTTTTTTTACACAAACTTGTTTTTAGATTTTGGAGTAAACACATAGATTTGTTGATTACTCGTTGCATTTTAAACACTTTTTCTAATCAAATGTTCCCAAAATATGTTAATTGATACAGAAAACTCCAAACAACAAAAACGGGATAAATAAAACCGATCACGGTTTAATGTTGAAATTACAGCTGTTTCCAAACGTACGTTTGATTTATTAAGATTTGAGTTGAATAAAAATAAAGTATCAAAACTTTTATTGTCATTTGATTGCAGTTAAAGTTTATTCAATTTGTATAACTAATATATTATCATTAGTCATACAATTTATAAGGCTCAATGGGATTAACATGTATAAATAAAGTTTGAATGAACATATGGAAAAAAACATCTATTATCTTGTTTTCTGCTGTTAGTGTCTTTTAATGCAGCTGGAGTTTATGAATAAATGTTTATTAAAGAATTCCTCCCTCAAAATGAGTAACTGAGTTAAAAACATCCCAAAGTCTGAGTCTTAGGGTTCAGCTTGTCCAGAACCACGTCAGAACCTGGAAGCACTGAATCTGGAGAAAAGGTTGGGTGGGAAAGTTTCAACTGGTCCCAGTTACTGGTCCCAGCAGCAGGTACTGGTCTCAGCAGCACGTACTGGTCTCAGGCATCTGTTTGTCCCCTCCGAGCCACAGAGGCGCGCTGTTGATCTTGGTGTTCTGGGCCCTGGTTTGCGTGGACTCTCCCTGCATCCCCCCTCCCTCGTTAGCGAGGCGCTTGTGGATCTCAGAGGCCATGGTGAGGAAGGCCGTCTCCACGTTACCGGAGCTCTTAGCGCTCGTCTCCAGGAAGGGGATCTTCAGAGACGAGGACAGATCCTGTGGAGGAGACCAGAGCACCAGTCACATCGCTGTAAAGTCAGAATGCATGAACACCCAGAGGAAGTGTTGTAAGCTCAATCATCCAGGTAGATAACAACTAAAAACATTAAATCGTGTCATCTAGACCAGTTTAAGTGAGAAACTTTTCGTCCCCCATCCAGAGGACTTCCTCAGTCTTCAGCCTGCCAACCAGATCTATCCCATAAGTAGCCTTCACTGCTGTGTTTCCAGCCAACCTCCTGTTGGAATCTCAGAAGCTTTAAACACGTCCAAAATAATCAGTCATCATGTAGCAAGACTGAGGAAGTCCTCTGGATGAGGGACAAAACATTTCTCACTTAAAGAAACTGGTCCAGATGACACAATTTAACCTTTTTTGTTGAACATCACAGAGGATGTGACTAAATTTAATATTTTATTTACAAGTTCTGATGAAGATGGGACGTCAAATGTGAATAAAAACAGAATGGAATGATTACATGAAGCCAAGTTAATGATAATTCCAGCTCCATGTCTCCTGTGAAACATCTCATCTTATCTTAACAACAGTCTGTAAACGTCCCAGACCTAAGGAGACCAGCTGTTGGAGGTGTAGGAGGACCTGAGGAGACCAGA